CACTCACTCACACACACACACACACACACACACACACACACACACACACACACACACACACACACACACACTTCTTTCTAGCACTTGAACGATGTACTGATTAACGATATCGGGAGCGAACTGAGACGCACCTTTTCTGTTACTAATATATGGATTCGCTTTACTCACAAAATAGCGTTAAATATTTAATAGCGTTATATTTAAGAATGGTTACTTTACTTTACTTAGATTGTAAAAACGTTTAAATGGACAGAACAGTTTTCATTGATTTAAACGCTTGAAACCACAAACCTGTCTCGACTCTTCACAACAGACGCAGAGCGCGGCGCAGCTCATGACGTCACACCACCAGAGCAAAATAAAAGTCCCGGTTACACACTAAGGTCTTCTGCTTCTTCTTCTTAATGTTTAACGGCGGTTGGCACACACTAAGGTCTAATACAGTATATGCATATGATGATGCTTTTTCACAGTTAGAATCACCATAAATTTTGAAACTTTTTATTTATTTTTTTGTAATTAATGTACATAACACTATACTTTGTTTTCTTACCTTGCCATTAAATTACATAACTAGTTAACGCTGCTGCATAACCGTTTCTAATATAAAGGGGGTATATGATGGCAAATTTGACATCTTTCACTCTTTTGACTATCATAATCAATCTCGTTATTTTATGTGTATGTATGTATGTATGTATTTATTTCCTTCCTCTTTTGGAAATTCATTGAAACGCTATCATGGATATTTTCTTTTCTTTTGCTATTAGGGCAAATGAGAACACAAAAATAAAAAATTTGATGCAGTTTCCGTTCATCATTTACACACCTATGATGACTTTCACTTCTGAGAGTCCTGGAAATGTGAAAAGGGTCTATACACACACACAAGGTAAAAAAAATTATAATTAGTTTAATGTCTGTTGCATTAATTTGAGTGCGTTTGGCCCCAAAGCCTGGTTCGTTTGACTAGTGTGATCGCTCCGTGTCGTTGGAAGAGGTGGGCCAGGGCACGGTTCAGTTGGGCTCGGGCGCGGTACGCATGCATTGTGAGCGCGGAACAGATACTATTTTGTGTGTGCTACTGTCATCATTACGACCGCAAACATATTCTATTACTACTACTACACTACACTTTTCAATTAATTTAATTCGTGCGTTTGGCCCCAAAGCCTGGTTCGTTTGACTAGTGTGATCGCTCCGTGTCGTTGGAAGAGGTGGGCCAGGGCACGGTTCAGTTGGGCTCGGGCGCGGTACACATGTAGTGTGAGCACTGAACTTCTGATGCCTGCACCCAGATAGCAAAATTTGTCTGGCCCACCTCTGGGCTACAAACTTGCTTAAGTTCTGGCCCAATTCTGGCTGGGTCCCCGGCCCAAAACTGGCCCACACACTGAAAACCGACTCAAACTATTTCCTCTGGCCCAGATGCGGCCCACAACCTGTAAAATGACTCCTATTGTAATGTAATTCAGCAGTGAAACACAAATACAATCATTTAAAAATATTAAAAAGGCTTTACCCTGTTGAAAAAACCAGCATATGCTGGTTAGGTATGTTTTGACGCGGGGATGCTGGTTTAAGCTGGTCCTTTGCTGGTCATGTGCTGGCAAAGGACCAGCATAAACCAGCAAAGGACCAGCTTAAACCAGCAAAGGACCAGCTTAAACCAGCAAAGGACCAGCTTAAACCAGCAAAGGACCAGCTTAAACCAGCAAAGGACCGCTGCAGCAGGTATGTCAGCACTATCATCAGGATCAGTCTCTCCCAGACCCTCCTGCTCAATTTCAGCTGGTAGCGTTTCATCTTCAGGTAGTTCTTCTACTTCAGCGTGTTCTGCTTCCCTAAAATGAGGTGCATCAATGTTACTACCTTCCCCTTCCTCAACACCATGGATTTCAGGGCTCTGTTCCCTTTCAGGAGGCTCTATTTGTTCATCTCCTTCTTCATCAATTCCTTGTTGTTCCTCTCGCCTTCTGGGTCTTAGTCTGGGCACTCTGGTACAATGATTTAAATGATACCACGTTGTGCTTCCCTCTACCTGCACTGATGTTGGGGTTGCTCTTACAACGGTATATGGGCCTTCTCTTCGTGGCTCATTCCATCTTCGTCTAAATACCCTCAAATATACCTGATCTCCAGGTTGTATTGCGCAAGGTGTTTCTTCTTCCTCTCGTGGGCCTCTGCTTTGCTCCTGAGCATTAATGGCTTCATGTATAGCCGTTAATTGTCTCATGTATGCTCTCAATTCCATTTGCAATTGTTCAAGAGGCGGTCCCTCATAAGGGCCCCTTAAATATGGGACTGGCATTGGTCTACCTGTCAACATTTCATGTGGTGTCAAGTTTGTTATTCTGTTGGTCTGCATACGGTAACTCATTAAGGCAAGAGGCAAAGCATCTACCCAATTCAATCTAGTATCAGCACAGATCTTATTCAATTTTGCCTTAATAGTCCCGTTAACCCGTTCCACCGCCCCCTGCGACTGAGGATGATAAATGCAGCCTAGCCTTTGCTTTATTCTTAATTGTTGTATTACTGTCCTTACTGTTCTTTGAATAAAAGCTGAACCATTGTCTGAGCTAATTTGGGATGGTATTCCAAATCTGGGAATTACTTCCCTTGTCAAGAATTTAATCACTGTTTGTGCTCCCTGATCTGCTGATGGAACTGCTTCAACCCATCTACTGAATCTATCAGTTATTACCAACAAGTATCTTTGCTTCTGATTGATTTTATCATGTCTGCATAATCCATTACTAAATGTTTGAATGGCCCTTCTGGGACTGGTATATGGCCAATTGGAGCAGATGTTCCTTTTCTAACGTTATTTTGGGCACAAACTTCACACTCTGACAGATACCCATCCACCATAGCTTGTAAATAAGGCGACCAATATCCCTGCCGCTTTATCTATAAAATTACCAAATACTTTAATATAAATATATATATTAACAATGAACAAATGCATTACAGCATAAACATTAACACATTTTTTAAACCACAAAGTAACAAGTAAATTATATTTATATAAAAAAACATTATGTGTCGTAATTCAGTTCAGTTCTTATCAAATGGTGTCAGTGCAGTCAAGTCAATAATATTGCTGAATATTAGGTGTCTTCAACTAAGCAAGACAAAAGGCAACAGTAGCAAAGAACCCAAACCCTATCAAACCCAGGCTCAGTCAGGAAACCAGTTCTCCTCTGGCCAAACGAACGAACATGGTGTGATTATTCCAGGCTGCATTACAAGTCAGATTGTGGATCGATATCATTCAGAACTTCTTCTGCTTGAAGAAACACCATGGTGAAGCTGGTAAAAAGGGTCTGTGCAGAGGGCTTGTCTGGTTCTCGTAGTCTTTGCTGAGGATCTGTGCTGCATGGGGCCATCAATGAGGTCTTCACAGGGATCTGTCATCTAGTTGACATGTTCTCCGGGATGTGTTGTGGTCGTTCCTGGGTGCAGGTCCACCGTCTGGTCTGGATACCGACTGGATCAGCTGACTAATATCATAAGCATTGATATTCATTCTTCTTACAAATTAACAAGTACATTAGATATTATGGGAAGTGTTGCTGCTTACCCTAATTGGTGCAGTATAAAGATCCTTTAAGGGATTTGAATTATAGAAATGTGATAGTGTGTCATGTGTATGGAAGGTTAAAGAGATGGGACTTTTAAACTCACAGAGTGTGTCTGTCTCCCGAAGTCCGGCCCTTTTGATCGGCCAGCTGGAGCCACCTCTTCATAGTCCCCTTGATCTCCATTTCAGTAGCATTAGCTTGAATGTTTTTCCAAATTGCAGCCTTGAATTCGCACCTTATATGTTTGATGAATGTTCATGTATAAGTTCATGCAGCAGCTCAGAATTTCTGTAAAAAAAAAGATGTCAGATTACATATATAAAGTGTTCAGATTAAACTTTTAAATGTATGTTTGCTCATAATAATCCCCACCACAGTAAAATATGTTAAGTATGATT